TTGTACATAAATCCCAATTAATTAGCATTAATAACCACTTTTCCTAAAAAACCTGCTTCCAAATTAAAAAAAAAAAAAATCATATCATAGAAAATCGCTCAAGAAGACGCACATAAATGAAAACTCCCCCAAATCGAAAACTCCTCGAAATCAAAAACTCCCTCGCTCAAAACTGCAATTGCATACCAAAAATCGAACACATTTGGTCCAGCATCATCCATCCCTCGCCCATTACTAGGCTGTTATGATTTGAGTTGACATAGTCACATTCAAATCTATATCATGAAAATGAAGAAGAATGCATCATCGAAACGCGGACGAGTTTTTCGTCTCTTTGGATTTGAGTTGAAGTTCACATTCATTGTGTTTTTTTTTTGTATGCATTAAAAAACATACTTAAATGTTTATTAATTCTTATGCTATTAGTATTGACATTTTATTATTATTGACAAAAAATATAATTTACAATTTATAAATATGACTGTATTCTGCCAACTAGCTTTCCCCACACTAAAACATGATATTAACATAACAGTGAGAATATGACTATAATGTGACTATGCCTTGTTTAACAATATAATTGACAGTGAGAATTAACAGACATTAGCAGCATGATTATGACCAGAACAGTAAGAATATGACTATTAGGTGACTATGTTCTGTGATATCGAGCAAAGTAAAGAGGGGAAAGTAGAATTTACCCAAAATTAAATTACAGAATACACGTGTTAAATAGCAAAAAAAATGATTGGTGGCTAAATGACTTATCAACAAGAGAAAATATATCGGCTAGAAAAGAGGTGGCTACAATCCTTAGGTGAAATTCGAAGCCCAAAGAACCTGCAAAAGGTGTGAGAATATGACTATTATGAGACTATGCTTTGTATAACAGTATAATTGACAGTGAAAATTAACGGACAGTAGTAGCATAATTATTAACAGAACAGTGAGAATACGACTATCATGTGACTACTCTGTAAATTGAGATAAAATGAAATCAAATACAACTCGGACGACACAAACCCATATATTTTTTGCTCTGAACAGAACAAACGCTCATAAATTGCGAACCAAACATTATAACCCATAGACTAAATTAAAAAAAAAAAAACAAAAAAAAAAAACAATTCCAAACAACCACGCAACTTTTCTTCCTCACCAAGCACAGAGCGCTACAAAGACGACGACTAGGCACCTCGATCTCGCCCAAAAATACATTGATATACATGTAGTGGATTACACTGATTTAATAGTGGATTAAACTAATTTAATAGTGGATTACGTTATTATTAATGTGAATTATGCTTATTTTATAGTAAATTTTACTTTAATTTTATAGTGGCTTTCGATAAATTTAGTGGTTTTCGATGATTATGTAGTGGATCTCAATTTGTTTTTAAATATGAACCATTTAAAAAACTAAAGAAAGAAAAAACAATTTTTGTTTTAAATTGTAAAAAAAAAAAACCATTAAAAAAAATTAGGAAAGCATACTTACGTGAGATGAGATAGGGGAGATAATAGGGGATGATATGGGATGGGGGAGAGAATAGAGGATTTGCATATCTACCAACAATTTAATGGATTTTTTCACAATAATGTAATACGGTAATTTTCAATAATCGTAAATAGGGGCATCTTGGATAATTAGAGTCAATTGGGTTTATAACAAATATCAATTAAAAAAATAGATTTATCAAGAAGTCAAAATTCAATGAGGAGTGTTTGTCAAATAGCCCCATACTAAAAGCTTAAAGCTTATTTATTTCTTAATTTATTTTTGGGGAAATTTGCTAGACACCCCTTATTTTGAACTTATATATGTAGAGATCTTAGTTGCTAGATGAATATAGGTATAGGTCCGTTGACCTAAAAAAATAATAAAAATAAAATAAAATAATTAGTATATAGACATAAACACACTCAATTACTAAGAAAACAAATCTCATATATCCCATCTCTCCAAACTGACGTTTCTCTCACAGGCCCTCTATTTAATCCATCATTTCTCTCCCTTTGTATCTCTCTCTCTCTCTCTCTCTCTCTCTCTCTCTCTCTCTCTCTCTCTCTCTCTCTCTCTCTCTCTCTCTCTCTCTCTCTCTCTCTCTCTCTCTCTCTCTCTCTCTCTCTCTCTCTCGTTCTTCTCAGTTTTTTTTTTATTATTATTTTTTTTTTATTCTAAAGTATTGTAGAGAAGGAAAAACAGGGATGTTTTTAGGTTATGATAAGATTTCTTGGTGAAAGAATTAAAGAGAACAACAAACATCCCATCCCCTCTCCTAAAAAAACTTCAATAATCCAAAATTCTAACCAAAATTCGCATTGTGTCTCCCGTATGTAGTACATTCCCATCATTTGTTGTTAGCAATTTCCGTTTGCAGGTTAATTTAACTTCGTTTGTTGTTTGAAAATTTGCGTTTGGTGATGAGATTCGATTCCTCTGGTTTACAATTTACAAGGTATGTCGTAAATTACATTTTACAAACACTTTGTTTAATGTTTTTATTGTTTGCAATGTGTTCCAGAAAAAAAAATTGTTGGTGTTTCTAATGAAGATGATTTTTTTTTTTCCGTTTGTTGTTTGCATTTTGCGAAGTCATAGGTAGTTTATTGTTTGCAATTCAATAATGCAAGTTCTGCTCAATTTTTTTCTTCAGTTTGTTGTTTGCATTTGATGAAGCCATAGGTAATTTTTTGTTTTCAATTTAATAATGGAAATTCTGGAAAAAAAATTCAGTTTGTTTTTTGCATTTGACGAAATCATAGGTATTTCGTTGTTTGCAATTCAATAATACCAAATCTAATTTTCAGTTTGCTATTTGCAGTGCACATATTCATAGGCATTGGTAGCGTTTTTAGAGTATAAGTTTGTAAAATAAATAGTATATTTGTTTTAATTAATTTCATTTTTTAGTTTATATTTGGGAGAGAGATTTTTGGGAATTTGTTTTAATAGAGAGATTTTTTGGGATTTTGTTTGATTTTAACTAAGGGTGTTTTCACCAGAATAAATATTATTAATTTATTAAAGGGGCATGCTAAATCCCACACTAAAATATACTAACTCACACACATAAATTTAAAAAAAAAATCTCTCTCTACTTGTATTCTCTCTAACTTTTTTCTATGATGATTTTTTCCAAGTCACTCAAAATTCGTTAATCTTTCACGTGAATAATCATAAAAAGTGAGTTTAAGTTTATTTAATAATTTTCAATTTCATTATGCTTTTTTAATTATTTAAATTCATATCAATTCGATTTTTTTTCTCAAATTCCAACTTTATTTTAGTTTGAGCACATGAAGTTTTTCTCAAATTCGAACTTGGAATGATATGAACGTTTTTAGTGTGTGTTATTTTATGAAAAAATTAGGGAAAAAGAAAAAGGGTGGGAAGGAGAAGATGAGATTTTAGAGAGATAATTTTTTTGAACTGTGTGTATGATTTGGTAAAATTGGTGTGTGATTTAGCATATGAGTTTATTAAAATATGAAAATTTTGGATCGACAGACATAAATTATAATAGAGAAACCTATAACAAATTGCCCCTTTAGTTTTTGGTCCTACAAAAAATCTAAAATAACCAAATTGCCTCTATAAATTAGCCCATGACATTATACTATATCACTCTCAAATCTCACCCACACAACACTATTTTTCTTTAATATATTTTCTTCATGTACAGTTATCTAATTTAGTTAAATAAATATAATAATTTGTGAAGAATTCATTCCATGTAACAAAGGCAAGTCAAACAATTAAAAAAAAAAAAAAAAAAAAAAGACCTACCCTAATTCTCTTTTGTGAAATTATTAGTATTTTAACTTTTAAGTGACGGCGAGAAAGAAAAGGAAAAAGAGTCCGCCACAAGTCCATAGCTCTCGTAGTATAAAATCTTCTGCCAGGAAATAAAAAATAAAACAATTAGTTTTATAAGGTGCAACGATGACGATGACATCAGCAGCATATGGTAATGATAGTTTTCACAAAACTATATACGTTTTCTTTTCAATCTGGTAATATTATTATATATTATAGGGTAAATTTATTTGAATCTATTTTGTTATTCAGAAGTGACTGCCATGGAAACAAGGGAGGCATCGCCTGCACATTTTTTGATTAAGATTGATTCCTTCTGCTTACTCGAAAAGTGTGGAATTGATAAATACGAGACTAAAGAATTTGCTGCCGGAGGATACAACTGGTATTTATATTTTGTTTGGTTTATATTTTGTTTATAAATTATAAACTTTGTCTTCCGTTTTCGTCAATTCATAATCATAATAATCATAATAAATAGTAACACTGATCAATCCCGCAAGGGATGGCCCAACAGTTAGTAATTGAGTTTGTGTCAATTGACTTAAGTTCGAAACTAGGTCGAGTTTGTCACACATGGTTAGTTTAATGTAGTTTATGTCTATGTATACGAGAGTGTAGGTTTACCAAGTGCGCCTATAAGTGCGCCTATACGGTTGACTGCGGGTTCCTTCATTAACGAAAAAAGAATAAGAAAATAGAAACACTGAAGACCAAGAAATAATGAAAGATTTTTGAACCTGTACAGGAAATTAATAATCTATCCTAATGGAGACGACAACGTCGGAAAAGATTGCAGCGACTATGTTTCTGTACATTTGGCTATGGGGCCCACAAGTTCACTGCCCGCAAACTGGGAGGTTAATGTTGTCTTCAGCATCTTTCTCTTTAATCAAATATCCGCCAATTATCTTTCTTCACTAGGTATTTTTATTTTTTTTGTTCTCTCTATATAAATCTTCATGAGTTACAATATTACCAAAGGGTAGTTATTTGTCGATCATGACATGTGACAGGAATAACAAGACGTTTTCTAGAAATGAAGTCTCAATGGGGCTTGTCCAAATTTATTTCTAAGAAAATTTTATTGGATCCATCAAACGGTTACCTAGTCGATGACAAGTGCGTGTTTGGTGCTGAGGTTTTTGTCATCAAAAAAGAAGCGGTCACTGAATGTTTGTATTTGAAGGATGTTGATATCCCTTACAAGCATGATTTCAAGATTTCAAACTTCTCCAAACTGCAAGCTGCTTGGGAATCTGAAAAATTCAGTGCTGGAGACCAAGATTGGTATTATATTTTTATTATTAAAGCTACAATAACTTTTTTTATATAGCTTAATAATTAGGGAAAATTACAAATCACCCCCTAACAATTTCTAATTTTTGCACTTTACCCCCTCAAATTTTAAATAAGTAAATGTCCCCCTTCAAAATGTTATTCTTATTGCCCATAGCCCCAATAGCAAAATTTCAATAAATTATTCATCGGCATTTTAGTATTTTTGTTGCGCATTGCCCCTTTATATGTTATTTTTGTTGCACGTTACGCCTTAAAAACATTATCTGTTTGCACATTCCCCCTTTAAAATGTTATTTTTGTTGAACAATGCCCACAAAAAATTGGCTTTTGCAGCAAAGTGCAACCAAAATAATATTTTGAAGGGGTTATCCAGTTTTTGAATTATTAGGCGGGAAAGTGCAAAAATGGAAACTTTATAGGGGTGAAGTGCATTTTGTCCTAATAATTAGTTTGACATGAATATATTATTTATTTTTTAAATTTTAGGAATATTTGTCTTTACCCGAAAGGAAACGGAAAAGGAGCCGGCCGTTATGTGTCCATCTTTCTGCATTGTATTGAACCCAAAAATACTGTCAAGGCATGCTTTACCATATGGGTCAAGAACCAGATTTCTGATGAACACGATGAAGGAACTGGTAAGTGGCAATACCAAAGAATATTTATGCATATGCACATTGGAATTACACACAATTTGCTATAGGCAGTGGCGAAGCCAGGAATTCATCACTAGGGGGGCAAAATATACATAAAAAAATAGCATAAAAAATTAATAACATCTATGGTAAGTGGCAATACCAAAGAATATTTAAGATATTGTTACATGGTGGCCTTCAATTTTCGGGGGTTTTGGGACAACGCCCCTGGAAAAAAATAGGATTTTTTTTATTTTTAGAAGAAGATAGGAAAGATGAACTTGGGAATTTTTTTGCATAAATCTAAATTAGGGTGAACTAAATAATAAATATTTTGTGGGATTAAGTCCACCTTTGCCCAATAGTGGTCTCCGCCCTGGTTCCAAGTCACCTAATTTCCTTATCTTACTTGTTAGAATTATTTATTATTTTTCTTTGTTTTCATCAATTACAAATATTTATGAGTATTTTTTATATAAAACTTAATTGTTAAAAATTATAAGCACAATTTAAAGGCTACAAACAAAATTAAATTTTGAGGGGGGGCCATGGCTTCCCCACGGGCTATAGGCACAACCAAATAGTTTTATTTATTTATTTATTATTATTATTATTATTATTATTATTATTATTATCTATGAGTTTCTAATTGACTATTCTAATCTCAATATAGTTTTTAATTTCAAAAGGTTAGTTCCTGATAGAAATATATTTATTAATGATGAAATTACCGGGAAATGACCTCGTGCAGTAACTAATTATATAGGAATTATTAATTGTTTATTTGTGCTACTTATAACTTGTGAAATATATTTTATACTATCTAATTAACTACATAATAATGAAGCAGTGTCTAGAAAGACACTTGTTAGTGATTCTTGAATTATTATTTCTCATTAAATACTAAAACTTTTGTTTTGCAGCTACTAACTGGTTTTCGGCTTCCACCAGTACTTTGGGATGGCCTTCGTTCGTTGAGATTGCGACAATTAACGATCCTAAAAAAGGATTCATTGTGAACGACTCTTGTCTTTTAGATATTGAAATCTCTGTCCTAGCTGTTTCACAATGACATACGTACCCTTTATCTTTCACAATGTTGAACTAAATCTTAATGGTTTCTTTGTTTAAGAGAATGTTATTCATCACTATGCCAACTAATAATATTTATTGTGCTTATTTACATGTATGTCCCTATTGCTTGTTGAATTTCACCACGCACAATGACACCGAAGCAGCATCTTACGTGTTCATAACTCAATTACATATCAAAATGAGCCTAATAATCAAATAACCAATGTTTTTAAAATCGGATGGTATTTTCGTCTCTATAATTATCAAGAAAATTACTTAGAGTAAGTGAAAAAATAAAACACAAAACAAGAAAGATGGTTGAAATATAGCTAGCAAAACAAAAGTACCATTTAATTTGTGGCCTCCAAATGTGAATTCTTGATTACCAAAGATTTCCCAATTTGAAAAAGTTAGGAATCTTCCAATCACGTTCGTAAGGAACATCAAAATTGTTCAAATGTAGACGGTAAAGGTTGCTTCTTTTTTCACGACGAAAACCTCAGGACCAAACACACATGTATCATCAACTATGTATCCATTTGATTCTTCAGACATAACTTTTTTAGAGATGAATTTCGAAAATCCCCATTGGGTCTTCATTTCTAGGAAACGTCTTGTTATTATAAAATGCAATTGAAGTACCGTGTATTTAGAGGGCTAATTAAAAGATGAAAAGAAAAATATTATATATATACCTAGTGAGCAAAGATAATTGGCTGAAGTCTGATTAAAGAGAAAGATGCCGAATACAACGTTAACCTCCCAATTAGCATGCACTGAACTTGTATCCGCCATAGCCATATATACCGAAACGTAGTCGACTAGTCGGAATAATTTATGGTACCATCTCCATTTGGATGGATTATTAGTCTTCATGTATAAGTTCAAGTCTCATTTCAATTACCTATAGCCTTACTAAATGATATATATATATATATATATATATATATATATATATATATATATATATATTCAGGTAGCTAGCTAGAAGTACTTCATATACAACGACCTTTGATGTACTTGACTTGTATGTATTAATTCAAGACTTTTACCATTTCCCAAGACTGCTATTATTTCCGATGGAAGAAGTTAATGGTAGGTGATCAATACAACAGTAATTATATTTGATATGACTAACGAGTTATCCCATTAAATTCACTTCAAACGACAACTTGAAAGGCGGCTTTCTGTATTTTCAAAAGTGTAGGGGTTAAAATGAATGATTAAAAAAAATTGTTTCTCGACTAGGGACGGGTGCAAGTTGGAATGGAAATTCCAATTTATGTCTGTTCCTATCCGAAAAGTTCCGATTTTGGAACAATTTTTTTCATTCCGACTTTCGAAATTTCGATTTCTGATTTTTGTCTGTTTTTTTTCCGATCAGAGCCCTAAATACCTGTTGCCGAAAAAAATAGCAAAAAGAAAAAAAAATGGTCGGAAAATCAGCTAATGCAAACTCAACTAATACATAGTTAGCTAATCAGAGCTCAGACGTCCCGTTGCCGGAAAAAAAAAGTTAAAAAAAAAAGTTGGAAGTCAGCTAATGCAAGTCAACTAATCGCAACCCCGACGATCCACCACCGAATCTTAGGAATGGATATTGTGAGAGATAGAAAAAACTGCACTTTGTTTATGAACTAATCTTTCCTATGGGGTTATGATTCTTGAGAAATTTGCCATGCATGTCTAATGCAAAACCTATGATTGTACTTTTAGCTGCTCATTTCTTGCTAAGTATGGAACAGTCTCCAAAGACTGAACCTGAAAATTTTGATATGCAATTTGTACCTTATGCTAGTGTCATAGGTTCAACTATGTATTTGATGGTGTGCTACATATGCAATTAGTTGTCTGAGTAGATACATGTCAAATCCAGTTTTGTCTTGTTGGGATGCAGTTAAATGGCTGTTGAAATACTTGAACGACTTTGTTAAAACTGGCATAATATTTTCTAAATCTTCTGCTTCCATTAAATTATGTGGATATGTGGATCCATATATGCTAATGATAGAGATAATAAGAATTCTACAACTTTTTATGTGTTTACTCTTTGTAATGCATGCATTAGTTGGAAATTTCAGCTGCAGAACATTGTAGCCATATCTACTACAAATCTGAGTACATAGCCGCTATAGAAGCTATTAAAGAATCAATTTGGCTTAAAGGCCTTCTGTCTGAGATTGGTTTCCTCAATAAGAAAGTTGTTGTGCTCTCTGATAGCCAATTTGGAATCCAATTGTGTAAGAATCATGTTTTCCATGATAGGACCAGGCATATAGATGTGAAATTCTATTTCATAAGGGATATTGTGGAAAAAAATAATTGATTAAACTTGAAAAAATCTCATCTAAATTCAATCCAGTAGGTATGGGAACCAAATGCTTAAAAGTTTAGTTCATGCTTAAAAAAAACTGAATTTGATTTCTGTTGATTAAAAGTTTGGTTGTGTGTCTGTTGTTAGTCTTTGTGACTTGCATGTGTTCTGCGTGAATGCATTTTTTGGATTTTTCTCTGTGATTATCCATTCTGTTATGTGTGAAGTTTATGAGTTCTTTATGAATTCACAATTTTTAGTTATCTTTGTGAATAATTAAAAATTCTGCCGACTATGTGTGATGACCTTCTTGGGATATATTGGCTCAAATACATAACAATCCACTTGACAGTCCAACTCGAGGAAGCAGCCTAAATGAGGTTATATAGTCCACTCTTATAAGTTGACCATGATATTGATCGTTCATTTGAATCGGTCTAATCTCAGTCATCGATTTGCCTTGATATATTAACCCCTAGACCGGAACCCTATTCTCATTTCTTCAGCACCGCTTCTCTCTACTCTCTCTCTATTTTTGTTGTACCTTCTTTCTTTTCCATGTTGTTTTCCAGCGACTGTTTTACCGAGTCTCCGCCGTACATGGATAACATTAATTTCGGACACAGTTGTTGTCTCCTACCGTTGCTACAATGTCGATACATACAACACTTCGAGAAAGAGTTTAGTAACACTGTTCATAATCTCCAACGCTTCTCTTCGTCTAATCTTCTTATGTGAGGGAGAGAGGGACTGAGAACTGAGATATAGATTGTTGCCATGCTATTTGACTATACATGTATTGATAAGTCAAATAGCTGTGAGATTTGGATAGTCTAGGGTTTGAGTTTGAGTGTCGTTTATGTTTGGGCTTGCTGCCGAGTTGGTGTTGCTACCATTGGTACTTTGGACTGAGGACTGGACTGCAAAGGAAACTGAGTCAAATAGCTAAATTGGAAAAACGGTTCCATGTGTTGGAACCGTGAATTTTTTTCTATCTATTTCTTTATTTAATTTTAGCTAGGGATTATTTGTCAAAACCCCCTCATCACATAAGTGCAATTACAATGAACCCAAATTTATTTGTTAATTTTAAGATAAATCCAAAATATCTTTTATTAATAAAAATTAATTAAGTATCACAATTATACCCTTACCTTATTATAAATATACCTAATATTTGTTTCCTTAATATCACGTTCTCAATCACACCCACAAATCTCGCTCCACAAATCCTTAATATCACGTTCTCTAGATTTTATTTTTCCTTTTTTTTTCTATTCACCATTGCATCTCTCCTTGCGATCAACTCTTCTTCTTTCCCCACCGGCGCTACCCCAGCCTCCACCCGGCGACAGCCCAGCCCCCATCGGCCCTACCCCAGCCTCCACCGGCGCCCCCAGCCCCACCTGGCGCCGCCTCAGCCCCCATCCGGCGCCGCCCCATCCCCACCGGCGCCGCCCCAGCCCCTACCCCTATTTCTTCTCTCTTCACCGTCGTCGAACGATATTTATGTTGTGGTAGAAAAATGGAGAAAAGGAATGGCAGAAGACGGTGAGGAAGTGCTTGCTACTCCAATAAATTTGATGAAACACCATCTCTCCTGTTAGAATCCCTTGGATTCTAATTATACGAGAATTAAATAAAACTTGTGCCACAAGATTGCATATACCGTGAGCTAAAGAAGGGAAGAGTCCTTGTAGCTTTTAATTCTTTTATTTTGTCATTAATTGATTTTTATAGGAAATTGTCTTTATTCCTAGAGAGAGTTTCCTTTGTTCTCAAATACATGCTTTTACGTGTCTTAAGAATTCTAACCCTTATGGGCTTTGTTTTTCTACAGGATTCTTACTTTTCATAGGATATAAATAAGCAGCACATCACGACGTTTTGGTGTGTGTCTGCTGGAGAGAAAAATATTGTTTTTTCTTTGCTGCTCTTCTAGCGTCTTGTTTATCGAGAGAAGTGCAAGAGAATTATTTTTTCCTCTCGTTTTTATTGCTCCATCGTGATACGTGATTTTCATAGAAAATATACCGGCTTCAAGGCTTTGTGTTGAAGACACCAAGATTCAAGAAGTATCACAAGTTTGCTTCTTCTATATAAAAAGAAGATCGGTTCTTCGGGAGAGGGGCTTAAACAGATCTCGGGAGGAGATCGATCCGCCGACTGAGGGATTCAGCGTTGAAGGGAGTTCAACCGTGCGGAGCAAGGGACGTGCTGCAAATTGAAGATTTATAATTCAGCGTTGTATACGAGAACGTCGTCAACAAAGAGGGAGTCTTTGTATTTTGATTAAGTCCTATTATTGTATTCGTAAAACTAAAAATTAGTAAATTTTATTTGCAGGTCCCCGTGGATGTAGGGTACAATTGTATCCAAACCACATTAAAATTTGTGTCTCGTTTATTTCCGTTTTTACAAAACTGCTTCACGAACTGTTGCAACACTTCACGCAACAGTAACGAAAAACTGAATCTGACACAAACAATTTATATCTGCACGAAATAAATTCTAACAATTGGCATCAAGAGCCTGTCACTAGATACACTTAGTGAGATTTTGGGATTTAATTTTTTAATTTGTTTTGTGCAGATATGCTTCATCGTGAAGGAGCGTCTACAGTACGACCACCTCTCTTGGATGGATCAAACTACTCTTACTGGAAATCGAAGATGAAGATGTTCATCAAGTCCGTTGATGAACGAGCTTGGCGTGCTATCGTGACTGGTTGGACACCGCCCATGGCTAAAGGAACGGATGGTATGCAAACGGTAAAACCAGAAGAAGCATGGACTAATGAAGAGATATTACATGCCAATTACAACTCAAGGGCGATAAACTCAATTTTCAG